ATCTCCAGCTTAACATGGACACATCATGAATACAGCGTTCAGCATGCGCCTGCGCCGTCTCTCTGGCCACTGAGCTCCTGACCCGGACACGAGTCTGTTCAGTCGCTCAGCACTACAGCAGACTCACAGCTGCCCTGGACTGAGGAGCATCTGACTATGGAGCATTTGCATTACTTAAAGTGTGTGTGTGTGTGTGTGTGCGTGTGTGTGTGTGTGTGTGTGTGTGTGTGTGTGTGTGTGTGTGTGTGTGTGTGTGTGTGTGTGTGTGTGTGTGTGTGTGTGTGTGTGTGTGTGTGTGTGCGCTTGCGTGCGTGCATGTACGTGTGTGTCATCTGTTCATTTTCACTTCACTTATTTTAAAACCTCTGTTCAGTAGTGGAGTTCATGTAGAAAACACTACATTACCCATGATGCTGTTCACAAAACTCACCAATCAGGATCAGCCAATGAGACAATCCGGCCTTTCAAAATGCAAAATACATTGCTGTGCATCAACATCCAGGATTATTTATTAAGACACGAGCGGTGTTGGTGTGTTTCTGTTCTCCTGCATGTTTGTGTCTTCAATCATGTGTGTGTGCGTGTGTGCGTGCATGTGTGTGTGTGTTTGTTTACATGAGAGCAGTGCATTATTGTAGTCTGGTGATGAACCGACTGGTGCATTAAATGGTTTACTCAACACAAGCCGTCCACACACACAATCACCTCCTCCTCCTCCTCTTCTTCTTCTTCTTCTCTATCTTTAATGATTTGTAATAAACGGCTTCCCTGTACTCCGCCAGCTCTGTGTGTTTGATTTAACGTGTGCTCAGTGCTGGATGTAGAGCGCCGCCGCCACAGGAGCTCAACCCTGCTGGAGACTGGAGTTTCCTGGAGGCAGATGATGAAGTGTAGGGCGGAGCATGATCTCAGCCTCCGGGATCTGATTGGATGATTGTAGATGGGAGGAGGGTTTGATTGGCACTTTACACTCAGTTGTGGAGGATTTTCCTGTCCAGCAGAATCACCGTCAGCTCCCTCTGCTGCAGCACACACGCCCTAAAAGACTGAACCCCGCCCCAAATGACTGATAGCCCTGCCCTGATTGACTGATAGCCCCACCCTGATTGACTGATAGCCCTGAATGACTGATAGCCACGCCCTGATTGACTGATAGCCCCGCCCTGAATGACTGATAGCCACGCCCTGATTGACTGATAGCCACGCCCTGAATGACTGATAGCCCCGCCCTGATTGACTGATGATAGCCCCACCCTGAATGACTGATAGCCCCAGTTTGCGCTTTATTACGCTAGATTTGAGATGCGGCTCCTCAAAGGTGAGAGGTGACCACAGCTGGGTCAGCGAGTGTTTCTCTGCTGTGGTTTTTCAGGATGTACTCAGAGCTCATGGAGGTTCTGGAGTGTTCAGCAGAGCTGCATTTCCACTGTAACTCCAGAAATCACCCTGTATGATTTATTCAGTTTGTTTATGAATGACCTGTTGTTTAGGCTGTAATTATTCCAGCTTTACTCTGCTCATGATCAGCAGCTCCTGTCTGAGCTCATCTAGACGCCCGCGTGTGTGTGTGTGTGTGTGTGTGTGTGTGTGTGTGTGTGTGTGTGTGTGTGTGTGTGTGTGCACCTCACCATCAGTAAAGGTCTCAGTAGCAACATGGGCAAAACCAAAGAGCTGTCAGGAAGCACAGGAGAAAACTGCAGAGCTTCACGAAGCTGGAACGGGCTCGGGGGAATTGCCCAGCAGCTTGGTGAAGAGAGATCAGCTGTTGGAGCCGCTGTCAGAGAATGGAGGAGGCTGATGATGAGCGCCAGTGTCCCTCAGACTGGGCCCCATGGAAGACCTCTCCTCCTGGGGTATCAGTGAAGCTTAGAATGGTCCAGAATCAGCGAAAGCCTCCCTCCCTCAGTCAGAGCATTAGAGGAAAAACCTTTAGAGGAAGCTGAAACCTGACAGATCTAGAGGAGATCTGAGGAGGAGTGGGCCAGATACCTGGAGAAGAACTACAGGAGCCGTCTGACCTCTGCCATCATCAATCAAGGCTTCAGAAGCAAATATTGAACGTTTATGGTGCACGAGATCAAATACTCGTGATGGAGTAATGTAAGAGTAAATAATGAATAATGAGTGTGACTGGAGGTGTAGATCCCGTCCCTCACAGCTCCAGACCCCTCGATGAGCTCTGCCCTCGCCGTGTGCTGGAGATCAGTCAGATGAAGTACTGGTTACGTATACGCCAGTACGGTGGAGAACCCCAGCGCAGGTGTGTGTGTGTGTGTGTGTAATCGTACCTCAGTGTAGTTACTGTGTAGTGTTCTTATATTAGTGTTTAGATCAGATCATGGCCAGACTTCACATTCTACAGGGCCTGTAATGAGCCTAGAGCAGCCGGGTAACCGTGACCAGGCTAGAGGAACAGGAAACCCCCACTGAGATTGAAGCAGTACCCATGATGAGGAGTATCGGTCATCACTGTAGAACACCTGCTGCTGATTTACACCACATTACAGAAGAAACAGCGACGACACACACATGCTTACACTCCAGTGGGCAGGGTGTGTGTGTGTGAGTGCTTGTCATACATGGTGATTAAATGAGCTCAACTGACCACACCCACTCATCAGCTGACCACACCCAGTCAAACATTGACCACACCCACTCATCAGCTGATTGGTTGTTTTATTTTTGTGAGTTCTGAGGATGGACAGTGCACACACACAAACTCCTGTAAGTGTTTGAACAAGGCACAATGCTGAAGTTTACTAAGGAAACACACACACACACACAATTATACCTCTCCATTTGTGAATGTGTTTGAGATTGTTTGAGTGTGTGTGTGTGTGTGTGTGTTGAGCTCTAATCTCCTGTTGTGTCTCCTGTCTCTCCATCAGCGGGTCCCGTCCTCCACTCCTCCTCTGACCGCAGCAGCGTCTCGTCTTTCCTTGAATCAAGGATTATTCCTCTGGATGGAGCAGAACACCACTGACACGAGCACAACCTGTGTGTGTGTGTGTGTGTGTGTGTGTGTGTGTGAGAGAGAGACTCATGGCACTGCAGATGCGTCACCAAAACCCTGAAAGACCAAAAAATACAGGCCGTGTGTGTGTGTGTGTGTGTGTGTGTGTGTGTGTGTGTGTGTGTGTGTGTGTGCCAAATCATGGTGAAGAGCGCTGTGTTAGTCCAGTGTGAGCGTCTCCAGCTGCATCATTCCTCTTTTCATAAATTAATGTGATGTGTTCAGTCTGACTGCGGATGCTTTATTTCACACACACACACACACACACACACACTCAGTCGAAGCTCAGGATGACGGGTGTGTGCTGGGTCTCCTCCAGGAAGCGCAGCAGGTCGGCGGGTGTGATCCCCATGGTGGCGCTGTTGGTCATGGGGTGGCAGTGTATGTGTGTGTGTCCGCCGTGGGTCAGCTCTCGGTCCAGCACCGCCGTCACGCTGCGCTCGGTGTCCAGGAACAGTGCCAGCGGGGTCACGCAGCCCTGCCGGACCCTCAGCTTCTCCAGCAGCAGACGCTTCTCCGCCAGGCGCAGATTCGGGGCCCCCAGCCGGCGGGACAGCTCACCCAGGGCCAGGGGCCGGTCGTGACGCACACACACCAGGAACACACGCCGCTTCTTATCCTTCAGGAACAGGTTTTTAGTGACGACACCGCTCAGGTGAGACACATGGGGCATCATCTCCTCCACTGTAAACACCTGCAGCACACACACACACACACAGAGAGAGAGAGAGAGAAACATGAACATGTGCACACACACACCTACAGTGATTGATCTGTTGTGGTGATGCTACAGTTGCTATGGTAACATAACAGCTGCACTAATGTAGTCAGACGGGCCAGTACTGCTGTGTTCTGCAGCTGTAGCGTTTACTGTAGTGCAATACACCACAGATTACTGTAGTAAAGGCTGAGGTACACTACAGCATTCATCAGAGTCCACTGATCCTGCATTGTGCTGGAGCACTCATTAACACACAGACACAGTTTAATACACTGATTAGTGTAATGCAGATGACCGGATAGACTAGTATAAGCAGTGTGTGGTCGGTGATGTGCTTCTGCCGCAGTGAGTGCTGTGTTTGAGGACTGCTGTGTGTTCTCTCGGGGGTTTTCTGACCTCTGGGTGTTCGATGCAGGTCGTCTCGATGTTCAGCCGTTTTAGAAACTCCTCCAACTCTTTCCTCAGGTCGACAGGCGCCACCGCGGCTCCACCAGCTTCACTCACCGCCTCAACGAGCTCTGATTGGTCCATGCCTTCAACGAACCACAGCGATTGGTCAGGAGTCTCTAGCGATGAGCAAAGGAACACCGGCGGCTTCAGTTATCAAACTTTTACAATCGAATAAAATAGTTATTAATAACCACCAGTATTAAAGTCGAACGTAAAAGACATTATATAAATCAGTTACCAAACACTTGAGATTAAATAGATCCTCAGATAGGTGCAAATCTGTCACTTTTTTCTCCACACGTCGGCTCTTCACGCCACTGTACTTCCGGTATGAAGGTTGTTGTGGAGCAGCGCCATCTGCCGCCGGTTTCACACACACACACACACACACACTGGAGCTGTGAGCATCAGCAGCACATCTAAATCCTAAATAAAACACACGGTCATCAGCAGGACACTCGATCATGTGTGTGTGTGTGTGTGCGCTCTTCATTACACGCTTGAACTGCAGATCATGAGTGTTTTGACAGTGTTCACTGAGCAAGAGTCTCCTGGCTGTGAATAAGAGCTGCTGTGTATGCTGACAGATCACCTTACACACTTAAGAAACAGTACTGCACACTTCCTGTCATCTCACACACACACACACACACACACACACGCGTGATCGAGTGTCCTGCTGATGACCGTGTGTTTTATTTAGGATTCAGATGTGCTGCTGATGCTCACAGCTCCTGTGTGTGTGTGTGTGTGTGTGTGTGTGTGTGTGTGTGTGTGGTTGTGTGTGTGTGTGTGTGTGTGTGTGTGTGGTTGTGTGTGTGTGTGTGTGTGTGTGTGTGTGTGTGTGTGTGTGTGTGTGCAGCAGTGCTCAGTAACTGGAGTCTCCCTGTAGCTGTGATGAGTGCTGCAGATGTTCCTCAGAGTTCCTCAGCAGCTCTTCTGGAAGTCTGAAGGAGTTTCACAGCTACTGTACACACACACACACACACACACACACACACACACACACACACTAGCTTACAATAAGCAGAAAGAAAAACAACACTGTAGAACACACTATCACCCCATCATCATCATTATTATTCATTCATTTTTTTCAGCTTAGTGCCTTTATTATTCAGGGGTCACCACAGTAAAATGAACCGCCAACTTATTCAGCATATGTTTTACACAGCAGGTGTGTTGTGGGAATATGAGCATGCAATGGAATACTGTGATTGACCAATCAGAATCTGTTATTCCAGAGAGCCGCGTACAGTAAACACAGAACATACTGTACACACACACACACACACACACACACACACACACACACACCTGTAACATGACCAGCACCACATGTATATATATATGCAGGACTGCTGGAATCTGTTGGAGTTTATATATAGTGTTGTCCAGGGGTGCAGCGGGGATACAGCCCTCTCACTTTTAGAGACAAACCATTTACAAACAGGTGATTAATTAATATATGAACATAAACATTTGGATCTCATACGTGTGTGTGTGTGTGTGTGTGTGTGTGAGAGAGAGAGAGTTCTCAGAGCACACTTAGGGTAAGGGTTAATATAAACACAAATGTGTGTCCCTCTTCCCAGCAGGGGAACCAGCAGCAGTCAGGAGTGCAGGATTATCTACTGTCAGGGCTTTACAATCAATAAATGTGATTATAACGGAGGACAATGGAGCAAAAACACACCAACATCCCCAAAGCAGAGTCACTCTGAGCACACACACGGGCTGATCTGCAGCGATAGAGCGAGTGTAGACTGAACTAAGAGAGAGAGAGGCGTGGCTTCTGATCTCCTTCTCTCTATTGGACACTGGCAGCATCAATCATCCGTGCTGCTCACTGATTGGTCAAACCTCTCGCGCGTGTTTCATCATTATTCCGCTTAGTCACTTTGCTGGAGCGAGTAAAGTTTTTTGCTGCCCGAGGCTGTTCTGAGTTCTCCCGCAGTGGCCGCTCTTGCAGCCGGTTCTCCCTCCTCCACAGCCGCAGACCCGCACAAACTCCCGATGGAGGACACAGACCGAGCCTCCTCCGCCGCACTGGGCTCCGCGCCGCATGAGGAGTCTGGCAATGAAGCCTCCGCAGCCGGTCAAACACGCGCCGACGAGCCGCTGCTGGACGCGGAGGAAACTAGAGATGAGCAGGTTACTGAAGTGACTAGCACTCAGCAGATAACTGAGGTAAATACAGCTCCACAGACAGCTGAGGTAACTAGTGCTGAACAGATAACTGAGGTAACTAGTGCTGAACAGACTAGTTTAACACCGACAACTGAGGTAAATACAGCTCAGCAGACAGCTGAGGTAACGTTAACTAACGTTAGTGCTGAACAAATAACTAAGGCTGATCCACAGATAACCGAACAGACTGATATAAGTTTAACACAAACAACTGTGGTAACTAGTCCTGAACAGGTTACTGAGGTAACTAGTACTAGTCCTGAACATGTTACTGAGGTAAAGGCTGATCCACATATAACTGAGGTAACACAGATAACCGAAGACACTAGTTTAACATTACCAACTGAAGCAACTAGTCCTGAACAGGTAACTGAGGTAAGGGTTGATCCACAGATAACTGAGGTAACTAGTTCAACACAAGTAACTGAAGAAACTAGTTTAACACAGATAACTGAGGTAACTAGTCCTGAACAGGTAAGTGAGCTAAAGCCTGATCCACAAATAAGTGAAGAGACTAGTTTAACGCAGACAGCCGGAGTAACCAGCGTTAGTCCTGAACCGATAACTGAGATAACTAGTGCTGAACAGACAAGTGAAGAGACTAGTTTAACACAGATTAGTGAAGATGTAACCGAAGAGACCAGCGTTCCTCCAGTTAGCGGTCCTCCTCCTCCTCCTCCTCATCATCCAGCAGCGGCGGCTCCTCCTCCTGACCGCAGCCCGGCTCCGTGCAACGCCCGCCCGCCCGAGCCCTGCGGAGAGCCGCACTCAGAGCTGCCGCCGGCCGGTGAGTAACCGCCGACACACGGAGCCTTTGTGTGGGGTGGGGAGTGTGTATGTTTCTGCTGATATTGGATCTCTCTGTGTGTGTGTGTGTGTGTGTGTGTGTGTGTGTGTGTGTGTGTTATTGTGTGTGAACGTTGGATCCTGCGGCCCTCGCGCTGCGGCGGACAAAGACGCGCGTCATCCGCTGTTCTGCTGTCAGAGAGCAGATTCCGCATCTACAGGAAATATTTCACATATATATTTATCTATATCATATTCCTATATCATATTCTCACGGTGTGTGACGGACGTCAGGACTACACGCTATTATAAAGAGGTGTAGAGCGTGCACGCGCGCACACACGCGCACAGAGCGATAAACATGTATTATCTGCTGGTGTGTGTTTGTGTGTGTGTGTGTGTGTGTGTGTGTGTGTGTGTGTGTGTGGACAGTGACCCTTCAGATGCTGTTTTCCATCAGTCAGTCTGCACAGTTATTCTGACTGCTGAATTGGTTCTGCAGGGTTCTGCTGGGTTCTGCTGGTGTTGTGGTGTTTTCTGTCAGTTCTTCTCTCTCCTGATCATCAGACTTGCTCTGGTTTCCCCATCATGAGCACATGTTCAGATGTTCAGATTTAGTTTCAGCAGACTGGAGTAATGAACACTGATTTTATTTTAAACTCACACACACACACACACACACACACACACACACACACACACACACACGTGATGCTGACAGATATGTTGTTGATTCTGCGTGTGTGAGTTTACAGCACTGAGCTCAGCTGTCCCTAATTAATAATGTGTGTTTCTGCTACTGTGGTCTGTAGTCAGGTGTGTGTGTGTGTGTGTGTGTGTGTGTGTGTGTGTGTGTGTGTGTGTGTGTGTGTGTGTGTGTGTGTGTAGACAGACACACTCCTCCAGCAATGAGCTCAGTCCTGCTGTGTTGTTGTAATTGTGCAGTATATGGTCTAGAATGTGTGGTGTTTTTGGTACAAGGTGAATATCCCCTGTATGTCTGCCTGATGCGGTTATCAGGTTATTTCAGGTGGATGCTGTTTTCCCTCACTGGGCACTAGGGGGAGACACTAACCCTGACGTCCACACTGCGCACTGATTTCAGACCTGTGTGCACTTCCACTTTGATCAGGAGTGCCCAAACTCGGTCCTGGAACTTCCTTCAACACACCTCGATGGAAGTGTGTAGTATACCTATAAAGGGCTTGATCAGCTGATTCAGGTGTGTTTAATTGGGCTTGGAAGTAGAATATGCAGGACCCCCTCCAGGACCGAGTTTGGGCACCCCTGACTCAAAAAAATTAATCCTGTCATCATTTCCTCACCCTCGTTCCAAACCTATTGAGTTTCTACTGTTAAACACAGGCTACAGCTTTCTTCAAGATATCTGCTGTAATGTTCAACAGAAATCAAGACACCTGACACATCTTCAGTTTTGGGTCTGTCTCTTCAAGTTAGTGTTGCTTTATGCGGAAGAGCAACGTGACAAAAGGTTTAATTAAAGGACGAGATATTGGAGTATTCCGCGAGGTGTAGCACCGAGGTCATGTTAGACTCTCATTGTCCACCATTTTGACGGAGAGGATTGTAAAAATTCCGTCATAACCTATTACTGCCTGTCATTTAATTTGCATATTTTAATTGCTTTTCTATTCATATTTTAATCGTGAACTTGCATGATGAGCTTAAAGGCTAAATTATTAATTTATTTATTTGACAAATGAACAAAAACACTAACTCTAATTTATTTCATGTTTTCTTTTTTTCAAATTAAAACTCGACAATTTGTGCCTGAACAACGGCAGATATAAACAACAAAACATATTACAAAATATAATTCCGGCTAAGATAAGAACATAACTTGAAAAATAAAAATATAACTAGGTGTATTTGCCTTAACTCATATCTTCCGCCTTGTCTGCGTCGACCTGAACTGGGTGCTTTCCTGTGCATAATCAAAATATTAAATATTCGGTTAACGCGATCTCTGGTGTAGCAGTTATCTAGTTAACAAAATGCACAAAGTGTGGACAGAGCAGACGACTAATGTGCACGAACACTGACGATCAGTCGCAGTGACGGACAGTGCTTATCATGGTCAGACCGCTCATGTCAGACTGTGTTTGATCAGTGGCGATTACAGTGATGCTGCAAGTGTGTGGTTGAGTTCTGGCCCAACGCTGGTGTCAGTCATCATTCCTGAACACTCTGATCTGACCTACACACACACACACACACACACACACACACAGACAGCTGATGCTCTTTATTGATTAGGTGTTATAGTGCTCAGATGAGGTGTGTACGGTCAGTCTGCTGATGGAGGATCTGTGGTAAACACTCTACTGTTGTTGTTTTTCAGGAGAGCCTGAAGTTTCCGTCTCCGTCTTCCAGACTCTTCCGTCAGGTACGCTTCTCCTTCACTCTGTGCTGGTGTGTGTGCGCTGTGTTTTACACTGCTCGTACTGCTGACGTACACTAATAATCTCAGAGCTGACACACTGCAGGTAATGCTGCTCTCAGCTTGTGTCCTGGTCCAGCCCAAATATCTGTAAACTCCTAACCAAGAAGCATTTCTAGACCAGCAGAATAATACAGTGCTGTTTTCAGAAATAATGAGTGAACATTGAGAGAGTTTCTCCCTGAATTAAGCAGAATAATCTGCCACTGGGGGAAGAGGAATAATAATAATATTTAACAGTGAAAACCAGATTATTCCTCTCCCCATTGTCAGATTATTCTGCTTGTTTTAGGGAGAATCACTCAATGTTCACTCATTATTTCTGGAAACAGCACTTTATCGATCATGTCTTGATGTAGGAGTGTTCAGATGTGTTGGTCTGGATCAGGTGTGCACAGATCAGTGTTTGGGCTGTGTAGTGCCCGTTGCAGTGACATGATGCTGAGCTTCTGTCATTATAATTCCTCAGCTGCTGGTGGATTAGCACGTGCTGGCGTTCATCATGCTAGTAGGAAATCTTCTGTCAGTAATTCAGTAACTTGATGGTTATTGGTGATCATCTTTGGCACTGATGCTGGCGATATTAGCCCTCATGCAGAGTCCGCCCTGCTGCTGAACGTCTCCTGAAATTATTGATGAGGGCTAACATGACACGTGCTGTCGAGCTTCTCGTCTGCTCAGTCGCCCTCCAGTCGGTCTGTACGGTTCAGCGTTCTGTCAGGGAGTCTCTACAGCGGCTCAGATACTCCTCATTACACACACACTGACCCTGAAGAGTGTCACCACCACCACCATCACCATCATCATCATCATCATCATCATCTGGCTTTAGCAGGTTTAGCTGATCAGTTATTGAGGATCAGGACAGCGCTGCTGCTGCTCCTGCTGGAGGGTTCGGGTATGACGAGCTTGTCTAATTAAGGGTTATGGCCTGAGGGGCTCCTCTAATTACTCATCATCGTTAGGGTTAGGGTATGATGATCTAGCTTATCCTCCTCAGGGTTGTGCCCTAGGCAGTCTCGTCCGCTAGCTGTTGTGTCCGCTAGTCGCTCATTTGTTCGTCTGATCCGCAGAACGCTGCCGTTCGCTCGTGTCGTCCGCTGGTCTCGCCATGGATGCGTTTGGACGAGAGCCCTCAGCGACCTCTGACCCGGATCTGCTCAGTCCATCAGATGATGACCTCATGCTGGAGATGAAGAGTTCTGCAGGACTGGAGGAGTCGAGGTCGGTGTCGGACAGCCCGTCTCCAGACCTGCTCCAGGATGCATATGAGGATCTGCAGACCCCAGGAGCACTGTCCGCCGCTGAGCCCCCGAACCCTGAGCAGCGGCCAGTGGCTCTGCCCGACATCCTGCAGTCCTCCCCGCTGAACCCAGAGAAACTGGACTCCGGCTCCTCAGAGGGCAGCCCTGACTGCAGCCCGGCCCACCGCTGCTCCCCGAACCCCCCGCTGTCTGCGGCCGGCAGCCCCGACTCCAGGATCCTGCTTCTGCGCGAGATGGTGGAGGAGACGGAGGCGCGTGCCGTGGAGAAGGTGCAGCAGGATGTGCAGCAGGAGGTGCAGCAGGAGGCGCAGGCACAGCTGGAAAAGCAGGTGCAGCAGGAGTCACAGCAGGGGTGCACTGTGCTGGATCTCCTACAGGAGGCGCCGGCGCACACACAGACTCTCCCGCCGCCGCCGCAGCAGCAGACCGACGCTCCGGCAGAGCTGCTCCAGGGTCTGCAGTTCTCCAGCGGGCCGCATGTGGAGCTCTGGGACTCCAGCCCATCAGCGGACTCCTTCTCCCCGGTGCTGGATGCGGAGCAGCAGAAACACTCAGAGAACACACACTCGCACACACACATCAACGCGGCAGACGAGGAGCAGGAGCCGTCGTCTTCTGAGGAGTTTGAGTTTGTGGAGCGGCCGGCGGCAGGAGCTGCGGAGGAGTTTGTGGAGCTGCAGGACGGCCTGACCTCCATCACCGCTCCACCTCCTGAAGCTGCGGAGGCTCCAGAGCAGAAGCAGAGCTCCACCTGTCTGCTCAGCCCGGCTGAAGGTGGAGGTCCTGCGGATGGAGAGGAGCGGTCAGACGTACAGCAGACCTGTCCTGCAGGACACACCGCTGGAGCTCCGGCCGATCCCACAGCAGGTACACCAGCTCAGATACAGCAGCATCTCCATCATCCATCCCTCCCTCCACCCCTTTATCCACCCCTCCTCTTCTGTCTGTTCCTCTGAGTTCTCCTCTCCATCGTG